AAAAAAAAAAAAGTCTTTTTCTGGGTGGGAACCTCTGCAAAAAGCTGGCTGCAGTCCACACCCCTGAGTGGGGACTTTTTTTTTCAGCACTTGAAAATGTGCCACTTCATTCTGGTCTCCATGGTTCTACTGCCATTCAAATTGTTTTCCCTATAAAGAAGGTGTCATTTTTCCCCCTTTAAAGATTTTTGGTGCCTTTAGTTTTCAGAAATTTAATTACAATTTGTCTTTGTATAGATTTCTTAGGTTTACCTTGCTTGAGATTTGTGTAGCTTCTTAAATTTGTTTACCTGACACATCAGGTAAATGTCCAAAAGGACAAAAAAAGAAAAAGGAAGAAATGGTTTGGGCAGAGGAGACCAAAAACAGAAAGATGGGGAGGAAAATAATTTTGTTCTAGAGATACAAGCCATTTTCAAAGATTCTGCTTAATTACAAAAGGGGGAGAAAGGGACTGGGGGAGCTGCCTAGAGGCACTTGACCCTATTCCCCTCTCTCCTTTTCCTCTTATTAGCCAGAGAAAGAAGGTAAAATAGCCCAAAAGAGGTTGGTAAGAAAAGAAAAAGAGGGGAAAAAACCCCAAATACAGAATATCTTAGTCTGTTTTGTGTTCCTATAAAGGAATACTTGAGGCTGGGCAATTCATAAAGGGGAAAAAGGTTTATTTGGCTCATGGTTTGGATGTCTGCAAAGTTCAAGATTGAGTATCTCTGCATGTGGTAAGATTAGGCTGCGTGCACTCGTGGTGGATGGCAAAGAGAAGCCAGCATGTGCAGAGATCACACGGGGAGAGAGGAAGAAAGAGGAGGGGAGAGGGACAAAGGCCTTATTAACAACCACCTCTCAGGGAACTAACAAAAGGAGAACTCACTCACCCCTCTCCCAGGGCATTAATCTATTCATGAGGGATCCATCTTTATGTCCTAAATACCACTCCACCTCCCATACTGGGGATTGAATTTCAATATGAGATTTGGAGGACATAAGCATTGAAACTACAGCAAAGGGAGAGAAAATAAAAATAAACAACTAAATTATACATAGAGGTAATATATTTTAATATACATATAACCACATAATATGGATACAGATATAAAATTTTTAACTAAACTAAAACAAAGGCCCACAATTTGATCCAATTGGAAATCCAAAATTTCTATTCTTCTCCTGGTCCCACAAAACTCATATCCTTCTAGCATTGCAAAATACAATCCTTTCTTCTCAATAGATAAAAAACTCCTACTCTATTCTAGCAGTACACATCCACTGTAATCAATGGACCAGTTTTCATGAAACTCTAATGGCTAATACCAGAGCTAGACCACTAGACATCATTAGTTTTCATTGATAAATACTTGGTTTTGGACTGTGTTTTAGCACTTCATCTTTACCCACTATAGCTTCCATCTCATCATTAAACACCTTAGTCTCAGGTCACCTACAAGCCTCATTTTCAAAATTAAAATGAACAGAAACAAATTTCTAAAGCCATCAACATAGTGTGGGTTCATTAGCAAAATCCCTCCACATCTTTCCCAAACACTTTGTTGTGGATACTTCAAGGTGTCTGTGCTACATTGGTTCCACATTGGAACTCTTATTCCAGAATAACACAAGTTTTTGACTTGTCCATGGTTTCACAAAAATGACTCTAAAGAAGTTTGAAAGATAATCACAAGCCAAAATGAAATGTGCATTTGAAAGAATGAGGATGTACCTTCACAACCAAATATAACTAGAATTCTCAAAGTGAAATGTCACAGATATCAACTCTCAAACTTAGTACTTAAGGAACTCAAACATTTCAAACATAATAACCAAATACATACAAGCTTATTAACAAATTGCTTAATACCCTGCAACATAACCGCCATTTCTGCTGTGTTGAGATATATATATATATATATAGATATATATATATATACACACACACACATTTAACACACTTTGCAACTACATGATATTAAAAACCCCCAACGTTCTGTTCTTTGTTTTTTTCTTGAGGAAAGGTTTTGCTCTGTAGCCTGGGCTAGAGTGCAGTGGTGTGATCATAGTTCACTGCAACTCAAACTCTTGACTTCAAGTGAATTTCCCACCTTAGTCTCCTGAGTAGCTAGGACTACAGATACACACCACCACACCTGGCTATGTTTTTGTTTGTTTGTTTGTTTTATAGATGAGATCTTACTATGTTGTTCAGGCTGGTCTTGGCCTGAGCTCAAGTGATCCTCCCACCTCAGCCTCCCAAAGTGCTGGGATTATGGGTGTCAGCCACTGTGCCCAGCCTCAGATCTATTTTCCTGACTGGTGTGCACAATGACTGACAATGGTGGTCTTGCCAATGCCCCGGTCACCTCCCACCAGCATTTGGTACAGGCTGGGACACCATAATGGCCAGGGTTCAAGGCTGGAGAGAGAGAGAGTCTGGGAGTGCAAGAATGCTCCCATTTTCCTGAATTCATCTGTTCATTGGCTCGATTTCACTGCTAAGTTAGTTTGTCAAGAAGATATTAGATGTTCCCTGAGTTTTTTGATAAGAATATCAGCCTGTTTTCTCTGTATTCAAATGACACCTTTGCTTGGTAAAATGTGCCTGGGTAGAATTTACTTTTCCTCAGAATTCTGAATGCATTTCTCTACTCTGGCACTGGACACAGCAATGGAAGAGGCTGAGGTCAAGCTGGTCTCTAATCTTTGTTCCAAGACCCCATTCAATGTCCTAGACATGGATTCAGAACACTCAGCCAAGGATATATGCTGCTCTGTTGAGCTTCATCTTCGTCCCTCAGCTCGTCTTAGATGAGTGCAAAACATTTAAACTCTGGTGTCTTGAGAGCAAAATGATTTAAAAAACTGTTAGCTGCTGGGTGCAGTGGCTCACACCTGTAATCCTAGCACTCTGGGAGGCCGAGGCAGGCGAATGGACTGAGCTCTCAGGTTTGAGACCAGTCTGAGCAAGAGCCAGACCCCACCTCTAAAAAATAGCCAGGCCTCATGGTGGGCATCTGTAGTCCCAGCCACTCGGAAGGCTCAGGCCAGGGCATCCCCTGATGAGCTCAAGAGTTTGAGGTTGCTGCGAGCTATGATGGCATGGCATCTACCAAGAGTGACAAAGTGGGACTTTGTCTCAAAAATAAATAAATAAATAAATAAATAAAATTATTAACTCCTAGTTTTTCAGAAAGGGCTAAAATCCATCATAGGAGCACATGCTTCCTCCCTCTCTTCCTGGCAGGTGCCCTGCGAAGCTCTGCTTTCACGACATCTGAGCAAAGCTAAATGGACAGAAAGGAAATGTAAAATTTTCTTTTAAAACTACTCCTGAGAACCTGTTATACAGCCTTGGTGTAAACTTACATGCAGGGTGTAAGTTTTAGGCCTCAGCCCTATCTGGAGGGAATGACAGAACCACAGTCATCACGGTAAGATTGTCACCACTTCTGTACTGACCTGCTGCTAAGAAGATAGGAGCAGACGCAGCAGTTTCATAGTGCCCTGTTAATTTGGCTACAGTCGTAAATCTTATTCACTCTCTTTACAACGTCTAAATAAAAAGTGAGAATACCTGGTTCTCTCTGCCTACACACTATCCCTCTTCCTCTCTTGTGTTGGTCCTTTTTGTACTTGGGAAAAATAAATGAACTCTTCTTTCTATCTTAGTCTTTGGGGAAATCTTTGCTCAAACCCAGGTGCACTAGCTCTCCACCGCCCTAACCCTCTTCTGAATGAAACTGTCCTGCAAGTGTTTCTACATATACACATACCTTGGCTACTTTCCTCCAAAATGAACTTAGAATTTTCCAGTTTTTCTTTTTTTTCAGCTCACCTTCTGTACTCAGAAATGCTTATAAGAAAATTAAGTAACCATTCTGGTGAATTCTTTAAAGATGCTAGCTGAACAATTAGGAAAGCCACCATTCTGCACAGAATACAGTGTAAAAGTAGCCCAAGAGGAGAGAGAGAATTCCCACAATTTTGTTTTGAGGTAACAAATGTTTTCCCCTTCCCCATTCCCGTTGTGGAAACGCTGAGTTTCCATCAGTGATAATGCTGAGGTACAAACGTTTTCGGGGTTCATTGTGGGAGATTTTCACTGTGGCTAAGAAGAGAAGCATTGCAATTCTTCCCAATTCAAAATAGAAGGAAATTTATCCATTAACTATGCACAGAGTAAACAACACTGTGCTCAGAATAATTAAGTGAATTTTCCTAACAGTCCTTAAGTAACGTGTACAAAAACTTTTCAGGAAGACATGAATATAGGCTAAGCCTAACTTTCCAACATCGTAAGTTACTTTACTTGCTTCCAAAGACATATTTTCACAGAATTAGAAAATATTAGGGGGAGTGGCAGAGGGGTAGGAGAAGGGGGTTTGTAAGTGCTCACTTAGGAGGCACAATGGCAGGGTACAGGGCGTACCTCCTGGGTGAAGGGCTCAACTACAACTTCGACTCTACCTACAAATGCAAACAATGTAACCTGATTGTTCATACCCTCATATTAATCTGAAATAAAAAAATCAGCACATTGTATGCCATAAATGCATTAATATACACAGTTATGTACACAGCTAATAAAGAATTTAAAAATATCTTTAAAAATACAGTAAAATGTACACAATTAATAAATAGAATAGAATTTAAATAGAATTTAAAAATATCTAATAACAATTCAGTAAAAAAGAAAATATCATCAACCATATAATGAAAAATATCTCTGTAGCCCAGTCCATCTTCCATGATTCAGAAAAGCTTAGTAGGACAATATTTAAATAACATCATATTGATTCTGGTGAGGGACACTGGGACGCCGAATGAAAACCCTGAATGTCAAAGAGTTGCATGTCCCTAAGACTTTGGAAAGGGCCACCAGCAAGGCATTCTTTGTTTCACTGGTTACACAGTAATAGGGATTTGGGTAAACTGCATCCCTTTCTGAATCGTAATAGCAGATTCCCCTGCCTTCAGGACTCAAGCAGAAGACCTTTCTCCTGACACAAAGTTTTCTAGTGTAGCCACCCAGTTTTACTAGTTTCTGCTTTAAAGTTAGGGCAGTCTGTGTAGAATAGCCTTCTAACTCCTTGTCTGGTGACCCACACAAGGTTAATAGGACTGGTGGAGTTCTCTGGGAAATCAGAAGAGCATCACAGATGACTTTCTGGTTCCCTTCCAAGCCCACATACAAAGACCAGCTCCTGGAGAAGAAGATCCATGAACCTTGAATAACAAAGCCCATTTCTTTCCATATTATTTCCAAGAACAATTTAATGTAATGGACGTCTGGAGTACGTATTTTCTCTTCTGACAGTCCTAGATAAGGAAACAATGATAATACATTATAAAACACCGCAAACTTCCAATTTAATGGTAAAAAGTAGCTTGTATCAGACCAACCCTCCCACCATAAATAACTATAAAAGCTGTAAAATACATTATACAATAATATAAAGAACTGTAGAGCAACCAATTCAAGCAGGATCGAAAGGGCTACAATGTTTGATAGAGAGGAAACGCAAAAGTAGCTTCGCATCGCCTCTGCTTTCTCCCTAAGGAGATTTTCTATAACATAGCATGGATAAATAAAGCCCAAGCGGAAATCAGCAGTTTTACTGGACTGAGGAAAAAAAGCAGCCAGAATTCAGGGTTGCCCAAAGAGCTGGACTTTGAGAAATAAAATCTCAGAGAAGACGAAAGATCACAGAAGAAGCCAACATCTACATACAATTTTCCCTCAACTAAATTGGCTAAACAGGTGAGACACTGGAAAACAGAAGAAAATATCAAATGGGAGACCAAAGAGCTGAACTTAAGTTTTATCAGCCCATCATGGTGCTGCAGAGATACAGATTGGAATTCAAGTCCAGGCAAAGTAGAAGGGCCTTTGCCTAAACATCCCCGACCTTAAGACTAGAGATCTAGAGTTAAACATAGATACAGAGTTTACCCTTAAATAACATGACTTTGAACTGCATGGGTTCACTTATCTGCCAATCTACCTCTATCAGCCCTGAGCCAGAAAGACTGACCCTCTTCTTCTTTAGTCTACTCAACAGGAAGGTGATCAGGATAAAGACCTTTGATGATCCACTTCCACTTAATGAATACTGAATATGTCTTCTCTTCCTTATGTTTTTCTTTCTTCTAGCTGACTTTATTGTAAGAATGCAGTATATAATACATATGACATATACAATATATGTTAATTGACTACATAGGGAGACCCTGTCTATAAAAAAATTTAAAAATTAGCTGGATGTTGCGGTCTGTGCTTGTAGTTCCAGCTACTTGGGGAGAATCTGAGGTCCAAGCCCAGGAGTTCAAAGCTAAAAATGAGCTATGACTGGGTCACTGCACTCCAGCCTGAGTGATGAAACAAAATTTCATCACTAAAAATAAAAAAAATGTTATACACAGATTTTTCTTTTCTTTTCTTTCTTTTTTTTTTTTCAGACAGAGTCTCAAGTTGTCACCCTGGGTAAAGTATCATGGTGTCACAGCTCACAGCAACTTCAAACTCGTGGGCTCAAGCTATCCCCTTGCTTCAGCCTCCCAAGTAGCTGGGACTACAGGCACCTGCCACAACAGCCAGCTATTTTTTGGTTATAATTGTCATTGTTGTTGGGCAGACCAGGGCTGTATTTGAACCTGCCAGCTCTGGTGTATGCATCTGGAGTCCCCCGCTTGAGCTACAGGCCCCGAGCCAATATACACAGATTTTTGACAGCATAGAGGTCAGTGCCCCAACCACTGGTTTATTCAAGGGTCAACTGTACTTAGTAGTATGCTGGAGGGGACAAAGTAGGTCAGTAAGTGAAAGTGGGAGCTTTTAGTAATTGGAGCTGAGAAAGCAGTTATCCATATGGAATAAAATGAAATATTACTCTACATCACTGTCCATTGAGCTGGATTGTAGTTTTTAAATGTTAAATGTTACATGCAAAACTTTAAACTTCTCTCCCTCGGGTAGAGAAGGATCTCTTACACAGGTACAAAGAGAACTAAATTACAAAATCTACAAATGATACATTTGGGCCGGGCGTGGTGGCTCACCCCTCTAATCCCAGCACTTGGGAGGCCAAGGTGGGTGGATTGAGCTCATGGGTTTGAGACCTGCCTGAGCAAGAGTGAGACCACCCTCTCTGAAAATAGCCAGGGATTGTGGCAGGCGCCTATAGTCCTAGCTGCTTGGGAGGCTGAGGCAAGAGTATCTCTTAAGCCCAGGGGTTTGAGGTTGCCATAAGCAATGAGGCCACGGCACTCTACCAAGGGTGACAAAGTGAGACTCTGTCTCAAAAATATAAAAGTAAATAAACTGCAAGATAACTTAAAAATGATACGTGTAACTGTATTAATATTTTAAACTACTACTTATGAGGATATGCCTTAAGAAAAAAGAAATGCAAGCCACCAACTTGGAGAAGACATCTGTAATCTGTAATACAATAACCAAAAACAGACAGATAAATCAGAGATGCTGAATATTGATGGTGTTTCTTCAGTAACTGAATACGGCCATGCGTGAAGCTGGGTCTCACTCTAGACTTCCCAGTGACATAATATGGTATACTTCTTTATTTGTTTAAATTAAATTCAGTTGGGCTGGGGTGGGGCTCATGCCTGTAATCCTGGCACTCTGTAGAGCCCAAGGCAGGCGATTGCCTGAGCTCAGGAGTTTGAGACTGGCCTGAGCTAGAGTGTAACCCTGTCTCTAAAAAACAGCAGGACAGGGTGGCAGGCACCTGGAGTCCCAGCTACTCGGGAGACTGAGGCAAAAGGATTACTTGTGCCCAAGAGTTTGAGGTTGCTGTGAGCTAT